GTAGAATTCATGGTTCCATTTATCACAGCAAGCCTTCCAGTTCCTGAAGCAGCAAAACAACCCCAGACCATCACACTACCACCACCATATTTTACTGTTGGTATGATGTTCTTTGTCTGAAATGCTGTGTTACTTCTACGCCAGAAGTAACGGGACATTTGCCTTCCAAACAGTTAAACTTTTGTCTCATCAGTCCACAAGGTCTTTTCCCATAAGTCTTGGTATGTTTCTTAGCAAAACTGAGACGAGCCCTAATGTGGTTTATGCTTAACAGTGGTTTGTGTCTTGGAAATCTGCCATGCAGGCCATTTTTACCCAGTCTCTTTCTTATGGTGGAGTCGTGAACACTGACCTTAATTGAGGCAAGTGAGGCCTGCAGTTCTTTAGAAGTTGTCCTGGGGTCTTTTGTGACCTCTCGGATGAGTTGTCTCTGCGCTCTTGGGGTGATTTTGGTCAGCCGCCCACTCCTGGGAAGGTTCACCACTGTTCCATGTTGTTGCCATTGTGGATAATGGCTCTCACTGTGGTTCGTTGGAGTCCCAAAGCTTTAGAAATGGCTTTATAACCTTTACCAGACTGATAGATCTCAGTTACTTTTGTTCTCATTTGTTCTTGAGTTTCTTTGGATCTTGGCATGATGTCTAGCTTTTGAGGTGCTTTTGGTCTGCTTCTCTGTGTCAGGCAACTCATATTTAAGTGATTTCTTGACTGAAACAGGTGTGGCAGTAATCAGGCTTGGGGGTGGCTACAGAAATTGAACTCAGGTGTGGAACACCACAGTTGGGTTAATTTTTAACAAGGGGGGGAATTACTTTTTCACGCAGGGCGATGTAGGTTTGGATTTTGTTCTCTCCTTAAATAATAAAAACCATCATTTCAAAAACTGCATTATGTGTTTACTTGTGTTATCTTTGACTAATGTTTAAATGTGTTTGATGATCAGAAGCTTTTTGTGAGACAAACATGCAAAAGAATAAGAAATCAGAATGGGGGGAATAGTTTTTCACACCACTGTATTTTAGTTACGCTTTGATAATATTAGCAAGTGTTCATGAAAACTTTTGTGCAACACCTAAAAGTTCAGATTGGTATCAAACTTGACATTTTGCTGCAATGGATGCTTCAGTAGAATATAAATGGTCAATTCAACCTTAATCATTAATGGATGCAGTGAGAAAGTTGCACATTTGATTATTTCTACTATTGATTAATTCACACATTTTAAGTTGTTTTGTTGCTGTGAAAAATTTATTTTAGAAAAACTATTGTGAGCTACCGTGTAAATGCTTGTGCATTTATGCTCTCACTCAGCATTAAGTTACCTTTCATGGTGACCTACCACTTTGCTGGAGAAGATCCATCTGGGTCGCGGCCAGCCAGTGTTTTGTCAGCAATAACCTCCCGGCACTTCTCACCGTAGAGAATAAATAGGTGTGAGTTCAACATCTGTCAACAAGCTTGTTGTATATAATAGTGAAGCTTCCTGCGTTTTGTTGGTAGATTTTGTTTCTTCAGGACTTTATTTTAGAGTTAATATCCCTACCCCTCCCTAACGAGTCTAATACAAATCCCTCAAAATTCCTCTTATTTCTGTGTTCTAAATTATTTCTTTTTTTTCCCCCCTTTAGTTTAATGTGACCTTCTTTTGGGTATCCGTTTGACGTACTTTAAACTACATCATGACAGAACTCCTGCTGTGACCTGTTCAGTGCATACACTGAAGGACATGACTTAGGTTTCTGAATACTGAACGTGGCTGACAAACTCCCAACAAGAGTACACGATGTTCCTTTGACTTTTTACTACATGGATGTAGTTCCATTAGGCTGATTGTCTCCGGTGCGAATCTTTTCAACACATTTGCAATGGTCTCCAGTATAAATGAAAGACTTTGGAGTGGATCTCTGTGTGACAAAAGCTCTGGTGCTTCTGTTTAGAACTAGAAGTTAACCAGAGGAGAGGAAGGGGGAGCAGAACATAGTATTTGCAGTCTTGCATAATATTTCCTGATGCGTTCATCTGGCCTCTGATTGGCTAACAGCAACACAACTCTACCACTGACTCAGTTTGCTCTGCAACGTTGATGTTTAATCTCCACTAATAACAATTTAATTCAGTTAAATTCTAATTTATATAGCGCCAAATCACGACAAGAGTCGTCTCAAGGCACTTCACATAATAAACATTCCAATTCAGGTCAGTTCATTAAGCCAATCAGAAAAAAATGTTTCCTATATAAGGAACCCAGCAAATTACAATCCTCATACTAAGCAAGCATAAAGTGACAGTGGAGAGGAAAACTCCCTTTTATCAGGAAGAAACCTCCAGAGGATCCTGGCTCAGTATAAGCAGCCATCCTCCACGACTCACTGGGGATCGAGAATACAGAACACACACACACACACACACACACACACACACACACACACACACACACACACACACACACACACACACACACACACACACACACACAGTTTGATGGAGGGATTTCTATCAGTGAGAACAGGCTGTGCACATTGATTGGACAAGGTTTTTCTAGGATTGTAGGTTTCAATTGTGATAAAATTATTCTTTATTTTGAAAAAAAAAAGTTAATTTTTAGATGCCATCAGTGTGTGAGGTGTGTCATTGTTCTCATGACAAAACTCTATCATGAGACTGTGCTCTAACCTGTCACATAACAAGCTAAATGAAATTCAAACATTTCAGATGGACCGTATGACAGCTGCTAACGTTGGCCCTGCCCTACTTTACCTCTACAACAGTTCCTTTATTCACGTCCATCCCAGAGCTCCTCTCTGACCTTCATGCTTATTTAGAGCAGCTGATTTTTAAAGTTAGCAGAGTTCATACTTGGTGGTGGGTTCACACACTCATTTAACCCTTCACCACTGAAATCAGTTTGTTCATTCAATCCTCCTAAATAATCCTCCAACCGTCCAACTGGAATCCTTAAGGGTCCCGTAATGTCCATCCTATCAGAACAGGCCTTGGGAGCCCAGGTGTTACTAGAACTAATGGTGTCTCCTCACCAGCGTGAGCCTCCAACTGTGAAGGTTGGTCTCCAAACATGAACTTTAAATTCATGCAATTATCTCCTCTTGTAACACTTTAACATGTTTTAAAAGGCTTCTATCATGACAAGTTACACTTTCCAGGCCAAAGATAGGTCCAATATAAGATAAAACATTATCATAAACACTGTTGAGACATCATTGTTTATTTTCCTGAGCCATTACTTCAACCAAGAAATAAGATGCATGGATTTGATGAAACCACGCTGTCTCATGCCGTCCTATATGCGTAACACACACACACACACACACACACACACACACACACACACACACACACACACACACACACACACACACACACACACACACACACGTCATGACTAATGTAACTACACTGAATTGCTTTTGTAATAATTTAATCTCTTATTCTGGAATAAAATAAAGAAACAAGCTAAATCATCACATATCTGTGGCATCAAGGAGCAACTTCTGAGTTCAAACACAGGGATGGAGCACAAAGTTTACACCTGAACAGTATCAGGATGTTTTAACTCACAGAGGCCTGCAGGTCTTCTGTTTTATGAGCAAAGCGCTGAGAATCCACGAGCGCTAAACACTATTTTGTCGTTTCTGTGCGGAGCGGAAGGGAAACTCATTTAAAGCACGGTACCAAGTCCGACTACCGAACCAAGCAGAATTCTGATGACTTAACACCGGTGCGCGAAGGTGCAGGTTTCATCCCTGGAGAGGAGGTAGAGAGGAGGTAAACAGCGAGTGGACCACAGGGACTGAACTGATGTTTTTCAGCAAAAAGTGTACCCCCCCACCCCCCACAGTTTAGGCACGGCACTCATGCAGGTGTCTCTTTCTGTTCTGACGCTGCCACACTTTTTAATTATTAGTAAGCCTACAATTTATTTTCACTCAGTAACGGATATGATTTAAAATGTAGCGAATTACAATTCTTTTTTAAAAACGTACTCAAGTAAAAGTACAGATTTTAAAAATGACTTCAAAAGTATAAATATACAAAAAAGCTACTCTATTACAGTAGCGTGAGTAAATGTAATTCATTACTTTCCACCTGTGATAAAATGTCACTACGGTCACTGTCATGCTCCGCCAGCATACGCAGTCATTCAATGCTCTTGTCCTGATGAATTAAACAATTTTAATTACAACAATTTGCTGATTTTATGTACATCCTTATCCAGCCTCTCCACTCGAAGCATAACACTTGACATAAGAGACTCATTTTACCTGCAATCTCCCTTCCCACCAGGAGCATTTGAGATGCAAAAAGGAAAGCATTCCACGCAGCTGGTCCTGTAAGGTCGCAAAATTTCCAGAGATTTGCAACACCACATGGGATTTCAGTGGTTCACACAATGACCAGCTGGGGAAAAGACAGCAGAATGCACCCAAAAATATGTTTTTTTGTTGTTCGTTTTGTTTTGTTTACTTCAGCTATGGAGGTTTCACGGGTAATTACATACAACCTGCACGTGACGTTTATTTTGACAGTTCTCGAAAGTTTGCTGCTTTCATATTTGATTTCCTGTCCAGCCTGAACTGTGCTGCCGAGGTTTACGTGTTCTGGGGGTGGGGGGAGGGTGGGGATGTTAAAAACTATTTAATTTTTAGAAATTGTTTTAAATAAACTTCAACACCCTTCTATTGGAAAAAGAATGTGCATATTTGTCGTAAACTACAGATAGAAGAATTAAAACCTCCAAAGAATACTTCAGTAATGTCAGAATGTAGACCGGCATGAATAGCTTCCTGATTGTGCTAAACAAAAAGAAACCGAAAGGTTATGAGAGACTTCTTCCCAGGTGGCGAAAAACTTTGTTTAGCTGGTTAAGCAGCTGATTTTAATTTGGCATTTCTTCCTCTGGTGTATTCTTAACTGCACTGTGAATACATACACAAATGCATCTGCCTCTTCTTGTTTTGACCTTTTTCATTATTTATTTCCAGGGAAGAGGCCTTGATGTCAACGTATTTTGAGACCGTGCAGGACCTGCTGGCATCATTTGGGCCAGTTCGTGATTGCTCCAAAGATAACGGAGGTTGCAGAAAAAACTTCAAGTGTGTGCCTGATCGCCAGTTGGACTCAACCGGCTGCATGGTAAGCAGAAGTTGGAGATTACATCCTGTAATAAATACTCATTCCCAAATAAATCAAGTGTGTGTGTATATATATATATATATATATATATATATATATATATATATATATATATATATATATATATATATATATATATATATAATTTCTTTTCCCAGTAATTCAGTACATCATGCCTATTTCATCTATCTGCAATGATTTTATCAATTTTTATTCTGGCACAAATAATGCAGAATACTGAGAGGTGCCTTCACATAAATCCTGATATTTTTAGTTAACATGGCCTTCCCGACTTCTTGCTTTAAAGGAAATGCATAAATATTTAGTGGCGCTCCAATGGGAACTCCAAGGTTGTTTATCCCAAACCAGAAAAAGATTTAGCAGTTATTTTATAGCTACCCATTTTTCCCCCTAAAACCGCTTAGTCCATTCTAATGTCCAGGTTAAACACTGGTAGCAGAAATGCCAAGGTCTTTTTGTCTTCATCCTTCATCCAACTCCTTCTGGGGGGTCTCTAGCTGCTCTCTCACCAGCTTGGAGGTGAAATCCCTCCAGCAAAATTTGGCATGCCAATTTAGACCTCTGAAGAGAGCTGCCCAAGGGTCGTCCTTCTCAAACTCCCTGTTCACCTCACCTGCTTCTTCTCACTGTGGAGAGTTTCCTTTACAATTCCTATGAATTTTATTTAATCTTTGAAAAGAAACTTGGCACCATTCGTTTTAGCCACTTTTATAAGCTTGTTCTTCTGTAATCACTCAGGGCTTCTTGCCACTAGCAAAGATGGTAAGAAAACAAAAGGTATTCAATCTTGCCTTATGGCTCAATGCTGCTTTTACCTAAAGGCGCAGAAGCAGAAACCATCTTACAGCCTCTCCTTCTGGGGGTTTCCGCCCTCCCTCCTTGGGTGCACTGGATTGGTGCCTTGGCTTCTGCCGTCAATCAACTACTGCCGAGGCAGACGGCTCACCTGATGGTTTGTCATTCATTACCTAACCCATCTGAACTCAGCATAGCGTTTACTTATGCTCTTTTTTTAGGTTGTGTGTGTGTGTGTGTGTGTGTGTGTGCCTGGCAAATGGGTTGTGGGATGGGGGTGTAACTGTCACAATTGTTTTATATTTGTGGGGAAGGGATGGGAATATGGGTTATATTGGGTCATTAAAATCTGTTAAGCACTTTGAGCTGTATTTTCTTTTGTATGAAAAGTGCTTTACAAATACAGTTTGATGGATTGACTGAAAAAAAAGCCTGAGATACTCCAAAAAAAAAAAAAAATACAAATTACAGTTTAATTTATTATCAAGAGAAATTTGACTGAATTATTTTCCAATATAACCCCCAGAGACCCACGGTTGTAATATTACAACATCAGATTTAAGCCTACAAAAATAAACCTTCCCCATTTTTTTTTCTTTTTAAAACCACATTTACATTGCCAATAGGCCCTATTGTTCAGTTCTGCAACACTATTGGCTGTTAAAATGTGTAAATAGGCCCATTTATCTGGCCTCCTAGAACAACATGTGAAAGGTTAAAAAAAGATTTTGCAGTTGTTTTCTAAATTTGGGTCTCTGGGGGATAAATACATAGCTACATGCATATACAGTAGCTTGTTGTGGTCATAATATGTGTGTTTGTGTGTTCACTGTTAGACACTGTTTAAAAGTCTAAGAACTTATCATTCATGCTGTCGGCTATACTGACTTGGAGCTTTAGTTAACTATCAAGCAGCGGGTGTTGACAACAAATTATTATGATACAGCAGAAATGTGTTCCACCATTAACACCCAAAACAAGCCTTCAGGGGCAACAGACGTGCTGTGCATGCAAGCCTCCAAGCTTGTTCCAGTTCATGTACTTCCCCCGCTAACAGCACAAAGTGTTTTAGAGTCATTGTGCATTGTAAACATAACTAGTGAAGAATATTTAACACGCCTCAAACCCATCAAGGAAACGCAGAAGATAACAATTAAATATAATTCTCGTGTACTGCAAAGTTTAACAAGGTTTTTATTACAATGTTTTCAGTTAAAGTCATGGACTACAATAGCAAATGTTTAATAACTGCAGTTTTTTTTTAATTTATTTTATTTTATTTTTTTGCAAATTATGTATTTCATTGACTCATGCTCAGATGACCCTGTATTAGTAGTTCTTGCACTTCCACCATTCTTGACTGCATGTTTGAGTTTGCTGGCTACAAACTCTAAAAATAGGAAAACCATAGATTTGTAACATATTTTTGTCTCTGTGTCATAATCTGTTTCCCTTTTAAAATACGCTAGAGTTCCAACAATCTAAGTGTGTTCCCAAATTAAAACGGGAACATTCTGAACGGGAAAACTTAAAATTGTAGGATATGTACATCACAAGTGACTCATCCATGTGTGTGACCACTTTGTGAGCCTAATTTCCTAATAAACACTGGAAAAGCAATCAGTATTTCAGTTTGGAGCATGTGGTCCCCCTGGTGCAAGGGATTCAAATGAACCAAACAAAAGAGCGAGTTGACACAACACAGTGGTCGATTAATCACCCAATTAATCACAGGGCCAGGTCATGAACACCAGAGCAGCAGAGACAAAGATCTACCACACCAGACAAGACCCAAGGTGTAGGCATGGAAAGAGGCCCCTGAGGCAATCCACCACATAACTGCAGGGTGTAAGAGGCTGGCAGGGAAATCTTCCATGGAACATCACAACCAATTGGCTGGCATCGTGTACAGAAACAGCTGTGCAGAGTATGGACTGGAAGGTCAAAGTGGGTATGACCCCATAAGGAGAACGAGAGCCATCCTCCTGTGGGACTTCCAGATCTAGATCAATGAAATGGTGATGAAGAACCAACCGAACATTGTGGTGGTGGACAAACAACAGAGGACAGCCGTTGTGGTTGATGTGGCAATACCAAGTGATGGCAACATCAGGAAAAAAGGAACATGAGAAACTAGCGAAGTACGAGAGCCTCAAAGAAGAACTGGAGAAAGCCTGGAAGTGAAGACATCGGTAGTGCCCGTGGTCATCGTGCACTCAGGGCAGTAACCCCCAGACTGGAGGAGTGGCTAAAGCAAATCCAGAAAAAAACATCAGACATCTCAGTCCAGAAAAGTGCAGTTCTTGGAACAGCTAAGATACTACACAGAACCCTCAAGCTCCCAGGTCTCTTGTAGAGGACCCGAGCTTGGAAGGATGAGACCACCTGCAGAGGGTGAAATGAGATTTATTTTTTAAAACATATATATGATTTTTATACATACATTTTAAGAGATTTATTTTATAATTTTATGAAAATATTCTATCCCTTTTTCCACTCATAGTTTTGCCTTATTTGTTTATGTATAGAAATCGATTTGTGCTGCTTTCCATTCTAAAACTTTGTTTGACTTTTGACATAGTGTAACCCACTGTGCACCAGAGCTTTAACTCTGGCATTTTCTCTAGCAAAGGGTGACTGTACACTTCAGCTTTTTGACAGCGCGGGCCAGGACTGCGTTGTAAAGTAATTAAATTGATGAGCCATCTTAATTACTGGAGGACGGCTGTGTGAGTCATTAAGAGCTTGGATGGAGCTATAAATCGATGGCACCTTTTGTTGTTTGTGTCGATCTTAGACAAACACGCGGCTGTTTCTTTGCATTTCCCCTTTTGCTTTACTTGCAACTGAAAGAAGAAATGGATGCATATTCCTGTTGAAATACACATGAAGCATTTTTTAGGAAAAACTGATCACTCATCCTTGTGCAGTTTGTGACTACTGATGGATAAAAACATTTATTTTTCAGAATGGTCTACAAGATATCCAAGGCTTCATGAATACGTTTATTTTCTTTTTACATCTCAGTTCCCACAATCAATACATATACAAACAATGGTTCATACTCATCGTTAAAGTATCTTTCCATGCTTTACAAATATAGTAGATTCTACACCATATTTATTTTCATGCAGTGGTAATTAACTTATTTTCTTATTTTCATTTAGATAACCAAAATGATGTCACTGTTTATTTCTGTGCTACCAAAGCCCCTACTCAATAGACAATTCATTACATTTATGCATGAACGATGGTGAGCTGGGGTTTATCACCCCAAAATTAGACTCAAATTCAGCCTCGCTGTTTTTCCTGACCATCCACAGTTTCCCACTACTTTCACACATTATGTGCAGCAATTTAAGACATACACGCAGTGTAACACCAGAGCTGTATTATGAATGAGATGGTCCCTGGTGTTTCAGAGACCCATGTAATTGTGTTTACAGTGAGATGGTGTAAGCAACATACAGATTCGGTTTTCCATCTGCTGAATAGGAGCTGTTAATGTTGTTTTTTCCAAACTTTAGGAATGTGAGGAATTGTGTGTAGCTGATAGCTACGTGAACATGGTGTCTCTTGAACATCTCTTTTTAATTGTTGACTTTAATTCTCCACACAGAAAATAAAAAATAAAAAACACAAGAAATCTGCAATTCAATTAAATAATCAAGAGTGGAACTTTTTCAAAAGGAAGGAAAGTGTTGGATGAATGTGGAATTTGAATAATTTTCAAAAACTTAGAAAAAGAAAGTCTCAGCTTGCCCGTGATCTTTGTGCAGACAAAAAGAATCACAAAGCCTTCAAGTCTTCAAAGACTAACACACACACACACACACACACACACACACACACACACACACACACACACACACACACACACACTAGTATTATTACATTTTTTTCTGATTCTATTGAGTTGGTGTTATTTCATGCACTCTTGTCAGAGTGGGGTGCTAACACAGAGCAGCGACATGCTGCACAGAGGGCTTAAAATCCATTATCAGAGTCAGTCCCTAAAGGCTGGCTGCTGTTCTTAAGACAGTTGAAATGCATTTGGAATGATTTAAATTCAAGTCAGAGCCAGTGTGGAAGTTCACAAGATGTTGTGTATTATGTGTTGTCTGTTTTTCCTTTACTTCTGCTGAGCCAGGGAGGATGTCACTCTGATCTTCTGGCCACCAAAC